GTTGAAAATGATGGAGCCCTAAGGTCCCTGAATCACCTCTTGGTGGGGAAATGCCCACTGGTTGGGAGTAGGCTTTATTGATAAAAATAAACATGTGTTCTCTGAAGCCGTGAGACTTAGGGTTTTATCTGTTACATCCTTAGTTAGTTCTTCCTTAACTAAAACGCTAAACCAGCATATACCTAAATTTAATGCGTACTGACATCTTGGCTCACCACGGCAAGCAATTATAGATTCACCTTTGTTAAAACAAATAAAGGATTATGCATTTGCAGTAGTTATCTATTCCCAATCCTTGTAAAGACAAGAGTTTCTTTTTTTTTTTTTTTTTTGTGGTACGTGGGCCTCTCACTGTCGTGGCCTCTCCTGTTGCAGAACACAGGCTCCGGATGCACAGGCTCAGCGGCCATGGCTCATGGGCCCAGCCGCTCTGCGGCATGTGGGATCCTCCCGGACCGGGGCACGAACCCGCGTCTCCTGCATTGGCAGGCGGACTCTCAACCACTGAGCCACCAGGGAAGCCCAAGACAAGGGTTTCTTAAAGGTCAGTTAGTATTAGTGATCAGAAGGCCTCCATGGGCAAAGCATTCTTGAAGGCGTTGTGTAGAGACGATGGTCGTAGACTAAATATGATACTAAAGGAATACAGGAAAACAAGGATAAATGAATAAAGTACGTAGACTGTGGAGGTTAATGTTCAGAACTCAAGCAGTTGTTACAAGACGGGGTGGGGAATTTTGAGACTTGCCAAAGACACACTGAGAGCCAGGAGCTAAATTGAGATGAGGAACCAGTACTTGAACTCATGGAGCTGAATTGATTTAGGTTTCCTTCTGAGGCTGCCTCAGGCCCGGGGGACACAGAGACGTGGGTTGTGGTTACAGGCAAAGTGACAGTGCTTTTCACCAAATCCAGGAGGTCCTCTGAGCTCTTGCTAGAGATCTTTTTATTAGGCTTCCTAAATAGACCTTAGTCCTTTCAGGCTATTTTTGTGGAAATAAAAAAAGACCAGCCACATGAGAAAAACAGGCTATTTATTCAGAGCTTGTTATAGCAGGGAGGCAGCCACCATCACTTGCATTTGCAGAGAGTTGGCAGGCAGGGGAATGGGAGAGCTTCATAGCGGAGAAAAGGGAAGGCTCCACGTGTGCGCTGATTGTAGGCTGTTGGCTTGGGAAGCTGGAGGTGGGCTAAGTAGGAGGCAGTGCCCCTATGTGATTGGTTAGGGTGCCTATTTGTTTTCTCTGATTGGTGGGAAGGTGGAAGCAGGGGTGAACATTAGGAAAACTATGATTTATTAATCAAGACCTGGCCATTTGGGGCAGATTGTTGCAGAAGTTATTGTTGAGCTTCCTGGATTGTCACTAGGAATGGCAACCTGGCTTTTGCGAGTCTGACTGACAGCAGGCTGGCTTCCTGGGCTGTTTATTGTAGATAGGGGGTTGGCTTCCTCACAGGCTGCTGCAGGCTGTGGGTCAGAGTTCATTTGTATAAACGGTCTGCTTATTGTCCATTTTATATTCAGTCTCTCATTTGTTTATTTTTATGATTACTTTTTCTAAACAGACTACTTCCTTGAGGTGGTCGTCCTTCCTTCTACCATCATATTTAAAAGCCTCCCTCCCGGGGCTTCCCTGGTGGCGCAGTGGTTGAGAGCCCGCCTGCTAATGCAGGGGACACGGGTTCGAGCCCTGGTCTGGGAAGATCCCACATGCCGCGGAGCAACTAAACCCGTGAGCCACAACTACTGAGCCTGCACGTCTGGAGCCTGTGCTCCGCAACAAGAGAGGCCGCGATAGTGAGAGGCCCGTGCACCGCGAAGAAGAGTGGCCCCTGCTTGCCACAACTAGAGAAAGCCCTCACACAGAAACGAAGACCCAACACAGCCAAAAATAAAATAAATAAATAAATAAAAAGCCAAGCATTAAAAAAAAAAAGCCTCCCTCCCTCCTGACCATAATTCTGTCCCTGAGAATGGGTACCCTCCCTCAACGTCCTCCCTACCTGGAAGCTAAGACCCTCTGTCCTGGGGCATCTCTCCCATTGAGACTTGGGGGTAAAATTTATCTCTACAGTTTGGTTCCCTCGAAAGTCTTAATATCATCAGTCCTCAAAATCTTTTTCCTGTTTCTGTTTCTCTGGGGGCCATGGCCTCCTCAGGCAAGCTGGTCCATTGGTGGCTGCCCCCCGTGACCTGCTCCTGGGTGGCCAGGAAGGATAGTTCTCTCATACTGTTGCATTTAAAAAAAAAGATGAATTAAGATAAAAAGCCCTGCCAACAGTTGAGAATAACTATTGGGTATGTATACATTTGTGCATATTTTTCTTTTTGAGCCTATTGGTTTATCCTGCTTTTAAATCAGACATGAATCTGGCCAAAAGAAGAAAATGAAATACTTTACATTTCCTCCTTGTGCTCCTCTTTCAGCTGTTCAAGGCTAATGACAGAAACCACCCCCTGCCAACCTCAGTATTCTGTGCGTTTAAAAGACCCTCAAGTATTAGCTCTTTGGAAGCCCAGTGTTTTAAACTTGTAAAATAGGCAGGCAGGGCATAATGCCATGATTCCAACTCCCTGGGACTCATTTCAGGAGTTTGATTAACTCTGGTTTGGCTCAGCAAAGGGAAGCCGAAGTGTCTCCTTAAGTGAAGAGGTAGGGGGCATTCAAATGAGGGCTGTTGTCTGCCAAGATCAGAGCAGCGTTGCACATTTTAAAGAGTCTAATCGCAAGACCTCAGACGGTCGTAGCACCAACCTGAAGCCTGTTTGGTCAGAAGTGGCCACTTGAGCAGTCTTAGGGCTCGGCGAGGGATTCTTTGTTTCAGAAAGTGCTTCCCACAGGGAGGAGGGAATGTGAAGTGAGGGAGCCCTCTCTTGGAGGAGGAAAGCTAAGGAGGAAAGTTTGGAGCCTGGGAAAGACCGAGACTGGGGAAGAAGGGGTAAGCTAAGGACTCTCAGGTCACCTTTATTGGCAGGTAGGTACTCAGGAGAACGCCAGTCTGCATTTCTGAATTCAGCTCACGGGAAAACCAACAACTGTTCTTAAGACAAAAGGTAAAGGGTATACTACCTGCAAGGAAAACTTTCCCCAGAGTATCTGGATTATAGGTGACAGGGTTAGAAATGTTCTCTGCTCATTTGTTTGGCTGAGATAAGAATTCTAAAGGTGGGAGAGGAGTGGGTGGAGGGGGTTATATAGGGTGCTGGGAGCAGGCACGACCTTCTGCTTAGGGATATAGGGAGCACCATTTGAGTGTATTCCATTACGGTCCCGAGTCCATTTTCTTGGCTTTTCACAACAAGACTGACAGCAGAGATGATCCAAGTGAAGATAATCCGTGAATGTTTTGAATACTAATTTTGATGGGTGTGGTAAGCAGTTTGTGACAGGGCTTCCAATGGGCCCCTCTCATACAGGAAATATGAGTAATAAATGTTGTTTCTGCAGCAAGAGATAACACACTGAAGTATTATTATTCCACTGCACCAACCTCCTTCTCCTCGACTGTATACATCCACTTGGCTGCCAAGTTCTGTAGGGATTTATCTTTCTTTAAAGTTTTCACCTCTACCCTCCTCCCTAGTCTTCCAGCCACTGCCTATTCCAAGGAAAGAGTTAAAGTTCTTGGAAAATTTTAGGAAAATAGAGCCCTGACATCTGCAGAATGTCCACCAGCCAAGTGGTGGTTCTTCCAGTATATCAAGTCTCCTTTAGCTGTGTGCCAGTTAGATAGCCTTTGCCTGCAAATGACATAAAAATATGAAAAAATAGTGAATTACATAAGTAAAGGGTTTAGTTTTCTTATACAACAAAAAGTCTGGAGTTAGGTGTCCAGGATGTTATCCAAGGAGGGATTGGCAAACTTTGTAAAAGACCAGAACGTAAGTATTTTAGGCTTTGTGGGTCATACAGACTGTCGCAACCACTCAACTCTGCCCTTGTAATGCAAAAGCAGCCAGAGACAATATACAAATATAGACAAGTGAATAGCAGCCATAGACAATTGTAAAGAAATGAGCATGGCAGTTTACCAATAACACTTTATTTATGGACAATGAAATTTTAATTTCATATAATTTTATGTGCTATGACATATTATGCTTCTTTTGATTTCCTCCCAACCATTTAAAAATTATAAAAATAAAAAGTGGTAAAAACCATTCTTGTAGGCTGAATAAAAACAGGCAGCAAGTTGGATTTGCTGACCTTCATATTAGCCTCCTTCTGCCTTCCTACAGTCACATTGTAGTGTATGGTTTGGTCTTCATGGATGCATCATGACTGCTGCTGTTCCAGTCATTGTGTCTGCATTCCAGGGAAAAAGAAAAAGGAAGAGGAAGGAAGAAGGAGTAGCTTCTAGATCAGGTCATCAAAAATCTTCCACAGCTCCCCCAGCTTATGTCTCAATGGGCAGAACTGTGTCATCTTTTTTAGCTGCAAACACTGCAAAGTTGATAAAATTTGGGGTTCTGTTAGTAAGAAAGAAGAGAAAGAAAGGGTATTAGGATGGAAAACAGTGTCACAGAGCCGAGTTCCTGCTTTACCCTCTTGTATGTGATCAAGAGGCAATATCCAAATGCATATTGTCTACAATAGCGTAGATCTCCTGAAACCTGATTATGCAAAATATTACATAATTTTCCAGTGGTAATTCATGTTATATTGGTGATGTCCAGAAATTTTGGTGAGCAAGCATTTCAGAAATTTGACTAGTGATTTTTATTATTGCCGAGTAAGTTTTCAATGTATGGATCTATCACCAGGATCCAGTTTATGTGGGAACCTTTAAAGTACAAAAGCAGCACTAGCTAGTATGTGCAGAGTGATTCTTACCCTGGACAGCTTGTTTTGGCTAATTTTACCTAGGTAGCAACTAAATTGCTGGCTGCAATAGTTTGTAGTTTCCTATTTTGAGTCCTGAAGTTTAACAGGTTCTGTTGAAGTGAATTGCAAATTGGGAATTGAGATAATTCTTTTTTGTTGTTCATTTTTGTGCAGGTTCCACAGAAGTACCTGCTTTGGAGGTACTGACTTGGGAGATACCGACTAACACCACAGGAGAGGGGGCAGTTAGCCTTGCCCTTGCCCTAGAGAGAAATCACAGGGTCTCTCTGCCCATCGACATTGTCCGTATATGAACAGACCACCACATTCTATGGCCCTACAACCATGACACTTTCTAGAATGGAGAGACCTTAGGTAGCATATTGAAAGAGATGGCCTTGGCACATTTATTAGGATACAGACATTTAAAACCAAAATCTATGAATAAAATAGCATGACAAACGTGGTCAATCACTGCAACGCAATTGTTAAGTTCTGGGCCTTTGACTAGCTGTGGTACTTCAAACAAGTCACTAATTTCTCTCCATCTCAGTTTCCGCTTCTCAAAACCCAGTCTCATCTTGCTTTAAAATGATATAAAAGAATGTGTAAGAGCATAGGCTTTGGCACTGGACAGACTTGGGTTTAAGTTTTGGCTCTGCTGCTTTTGATCTGGGTGAGGTTGGACAAGTGACTTGATCCCCAGGAGCCTGAAATCCTCCTACTGTAAAATAGGACTGAAATAATCTATTTCCACCTTGTTTTCAGGATAAAATGAGGAAATATATGTAACGCGCTTAGCATAGTACTTGACATCTAGTAAATACTCAAAAATTTATTTATTATGATTCTTTTTGTAGAGTCATTGATTGTTTTACTTACTATGTGTTAAGTTCCTTTGCATAATATACTCTGTACATAAAACCGTATCTAGGGCTTCCCTGGTGGCGCGGTGGTTGAGAGTCCACCTGCCGATGCAGGGGACACGGGTTCGGGCCCCGGTCCGGGAAGATCCCACATGCTGCGGAGCGGCTGGGCCCGTGAGCCATGGCCGCTGGGCCTGCGCGTCTGGAGCCTGTGCTCCGCAACGGGAGAGGCCACAACAGTGAGAGGCCCGCGTACCGCAAAAAAACAAAACAAAAAACTGTATCTAAGTCTCCACTCTAAGTGAGAGCTCACTTCTTCATGAGACAAGCCCAGTCAGCCTGGTGTTATATTTTGGAATTATCTTTCCAAAGAATAGCTGACACTCATTGAGTGCTTACAATGAACCAGGTGCTGATTTAAGAACTTTGTATGTATTATTTCATTAAATCCTCACAATAATCACACAAAGAAAGGAGTATTATTGTTCCAATGTTAGGAATAAGGAACAGAGGCACAGTGAGTTCATCCTGTCTGAAGTCATTTAACAGGTAAGTGGTGGAATGGGAATTGGAAACTTTTAGGCCAGCGGTTCTCAAGTGGGGGGATGATCCCTAACCCCACCCTCCCCAGGGAACATTGGGTCACATTTTCAGTTGTCACACTGGGGGAGGATGCTACTGGTACCTAGTGGGTGGAGGCCAGGTGTGCTGCTAACAAGAATTTATCCAGCACAAATGTCAATAGTGCCAAGGTTGAGAAACCTTTCCTAAGCTCATGTTCTCAACTATTTCTTTTTCCAGTTTCCAGATATTTTCTACAGTTAAGACAAATATAATTTAAGATAACATGATAACTCTATGGGTTTCCCTCAGGTCTTGCATGCCATTCTGAAAAACGTTAGGAATAATTAAGTAATCTGAGAATTGATTGCTATTTAGTTTTTCAAAGAAGTTAATTGTGCAATGAACGTTTTAAAAAATCCAGACGTAAGATAGTACCAGAAAAAAACAAAAAAGTTTCCTCCTTTGATTCAGAAATAGCAAGTTTCTGGGAGTGCATGGTGAACCTGAAAGGGAATGCTTAAGTGATGCTTCAGTGAAAAGTGCAAAACACTTGTGGAGGTGGCCTCTGCAGGTGATGCCAGTGCCACGAAAGAGCAAAGACACGAAGCAGGTGCTTGCCTGCTTTCTCCCAAAGCCCGAAGAACTAGGTGACATAAAACAGAATTAGCAACAGCCCTGGAAAACAAAACAAAACACCTCTGAGGCAGAGGTAAGACCAGAAGAGCATCCTTAAATTTCCTTGGCTGGGAAGTATGCTTATTCATCCATCCACCATCCATCTGTTTACTTTTCTGGGATCTGGGAGACAGCCATGAAGGAGAGAAATGAGGTCCTGACCTCATGGGGCTTATGCTTTTGGATGAGACGGAAAATAAACAAATGAACAAAAAATATGTAATTTGATATCTGATGGTGGCAGTGCTAGGAAGAGAAATAGAGCAGGGGCAGGTGTCACAGAATGCAAGGCTGCTATGGTTCAGGTAGGGTCTTGGGGAAGACCTTTCTGCGAAGATGGCATTGGAGTAGAAACCCAAATAAAGTGAGGGGATGAGCCACACAAAGGCATAGGGGCAGCTGTTCCAGAAAGCGATGTGGTCTGCAGACGGGAAAGGCTGGCTTTTTTTCCCCTCCCGGCAGAGCAAGAAGCCCTGTGTGGCAAAGCGGGGTGAGCACTGAAGAGGAGGCGACACGAGAGGGGCCTGCAGGCTGTGGGGAGAGCTGTTCCCCCTGCCCCACGTAGAAAGGGATGGAGGGCAGTGAGCAGGGAAGCAATGTGGATGAACGTGTAATGCTCTAAGGGGTCTCGTTGGCTGCCCCGCGGAGAGCTCGCTGGAGGGGTAGTAGTGGAAGCACCATAAGGGGCCTGTTCAGTTAGAGTTATTATGGTGGATTCTTCTCCTTTTGTCATTAGAGGGAAAAAGCATGAAGAAGATGGATTTCAGAGCCCCTCAACCTTGGATCTGAATCATGGCTTTGTCATTTGCTGGTTGTGCCACCTTTCTGCCATCTCTGAGATGTATTTCCTTCACAAAATGAGGACACGAATAGTTGTCTCACATGACTATTCTACGCATTAACTGAGAAATATATGTCGAGCACCTACCACGGTTCCTAGCATTAAATGTCATAGGCATTAATCAATGTTCATTCCATGGCTGCAAAGGACTGAATGTTTGTGTTCCCTCAAAATTCCTATGTTGATGGAAGCAACCTAAATGTCCATCGACAGAGGAATGGATAAAGATGATATGGTACATGTATACAATGGGATATTACTCAGCCATAAAAGAGAATGAAATAATGACATTTGCAGCAACATGGATGGACCTAGAGATTGTCATACTGAGTGAAGTAAGTCAGAGAAAGTCAAATATCATATGATATTGCTTATATGTGGAATCTAAAAAAATGGTACAGGGACTTCCCTGGTGGTGCAGTGGTTTAGAATCCACCTGCCAATGCAGGGGACACGGGTTCAATCCCTGGTCCAGGAAGATCTCACGTGCCGTGGAGCAACTAAGTGTATGCGTCACAACTACTGAGCCTGCGCTCTGGAGCCCATGAGCCACAGCTACTGAGCCCATGTGTTGCAACTACGGAAGCCCATGTGCCTAGACCCCGTGCTCCACAATAAGAGAAGGCACCTCAATGAGAAACCCGTGCACTGCAATGAAGAGTAGCCCCTGCTCGCCACAACTCGAGAGAGCCCACTCGCAGCAACGAAGACCCAATGCAGCCAAAAAAACAAACAAAAAAAAACCCGGTACAAATGAACTTATTTACAAAACAGAAATAGACTCACAGATGTAGAAAACAAACTTATGGTTACTGGGGGGAAAACGGGGCGCGGGGAGTTAGGGATAAACTGGGAGATCTGGATTGACATATATGTACTACTATATATAAAATAGATTACTAATAAGGACCTACTGTATAGCACAGGGAACTCTTCTCAGTACTCTGTAATGGCCTAGATGGGAAAAGAATCTAAAAAAAGAGTGAATATATGTATATGTATAACTGATTCACTTTGCTGTACACCTGAAACTAACACAACATTGTAAATCAACTAAACTCCAATCAAAATTTTTAAAAAATTTCTATGTTGAAATCCCAACTCCCAAGATGATGGTGTTCGGAGGTACGGCCTCTGAGGGGTGATGTCATGATGGTGCGGCCCTCAGGATTGGGATTAGTGTCTTGCACGAGAGCTCTCTTGTCTCCCTTCTGCCATGTGAGGACAGAGGGGGAAAACATCTGTCTCTGAACCAGGAAGCAGTTCCTCACCAGACACCGAATCTGCCTTGATCTTGGACTTCCCAGCCTCCAGGAATTGTGGGAAATAAATGTTTGCTGTTTAAGCCACCCACGCTATGGTCTTTTTGTTATAGCAGCCCAAATGGACGAAGGCAGTCATTTTGATCAGAGAGGACATTTCCAACCACCGTGTCCAAAATGGTAATATCCCCCCAACACCAGGCACCCCAAAGCTCCTCACTCTTTTTCTCACTCAGCCCCATCAGGAATGGGGGCGCTATGAAGGCAATGACGTGGTTTCTTGGTCACTGCTAATCCTACCCCCTAGAGTGGTGTTTGACTTAAATACTTACATCTCAACTGGTATCTGATGAACAAACAATTTTGAAAATGAATGCCTTTGTTTGAGGGTTTATTAAAATTAGGGCCTTAGATTTGAGTGCTTGGCAGTACCAAATGTTGACCACAAGGAAAGCTTCAACTACCATCCAGTTAGTGGTCAGGGTTGACTTGGCTTCTGTGCATGATTCAGCAAGCGGCTTTCTTACTTATTCATTACCCTAATGATATCCTTCCCAAAACTGGATGGCCCAGCGGGGTGGATTATCTTGCCTGTAGATGATTCTTCAAACTAGAACAGACAAGAAGATTTGCTCTCTTTTTAGAATCTCTGAAAATGTTTTGGAAAGATATTTGTGGATGAGAAAAAAAATCCCTCCATACTTCACTGTCTGCTATATGAACTTGGGCTCAGAAATTGATAATCAGAAGCAATTCCTGCTAATCATCCTGACAAGAGGAAGTTTAGGAACAGACATATAGGAATATAATGGAAGTGAGATTCTTATAGGACTTTATAATTTAAAGTCTCCCAGGATTCCCCAATTCTCTGATAGTGATAGAAAGTAATATTTTTTGGAGTGAATTGACAAATAAAATGACATTGGCCCGAGTAAAAATAGTATATTAATGACCCTGAAGGACTGAGGTTATTACATGGTTAATGATGCTCTTTTTTCCTCTTATTTTTTTTGATAGGTCAGCTTTGCCATTAGCAACTGGAACAAGAGTTAAAATGCATGTGGCATTTCTAAAATGCCATTTCTTGCTGAAAGGTTAGCACCATAATGAAGTTTCAGGGAAAATACGAGGCCATCTTTTCTGTTTTCTTGTAAGTATGTATAGTCCATAGGCTGTTGTCAGCCAGGCTGAAGATTATTTGATTGCAAGCTAGTGAAAGCTTGGTTTCTCAACATTCAGTGACCTGATACCATGAATGGTTAGGGTGTTGGAAGGATGAATTATGCATTCTGACTGTAGGGGGCCTCAGACGTAAGATATATGTAGAGATGTTTCGTGGTAACTGAAATAATTCCCTTTAAATTTCAAATAATATGTCAAAATATCATGTTATAAAGTCCAACATCCTAGTTATATGATTAAAAGTAAAGTCATTTGCATGAGAATATTTTTTCATGGAATAAGGTAAAGTCCTTTAAAATGTTTCTTTTGACTATGAAGAATTCATTATAGAAACTATGTTTACCTAAAACTGGAAGAGGATGAAACTGGATTTGAAGCATCACAAAGTGATTGATGGGCCCAGCCACCTGTCCTACCTGGATCAAAGTCCAAGGTAATTTCTATTTTACTTTAATAGCACGCCTTCACCAAAGGTTATTATAAAGGATCAAAGAAGAGTAAGATGTATAGAATTTATGAAGCACTGTGCAATGCAGTCATGACGGGTGGCATATGAAACATTAACTAAAG